ATTTTTGGTAATCCAAAAATTTATCAGGAGGGACTTCCCTGGTGGTCTAGGGGTTAAGACTCTGTTTATAATGCAGGGGGCATGGGTTGGATCCCTGGTTGGCAAACTAAGATCCCACATGCTTCAGGGCACAGCCAAAAAAAATTTTTTTAAATCTATCAACAGTAGAATGGGTGAATAAGTTGTGATATATCCAAAAGATGGGATGAAAGTGAATTAACAATGTACAACAACATGACTGACTCTGAAGAAGGAACCCACCCCCCACCCCCCTGGCCACACACACACAGAGTCATAGGATTTAGGAATGCATGTTTTGGTGAGAAATTATAGGTAAACACAAAGAAGAGATTAAACAAAAATCAAGATGGGAATGGAGATTTGTGACAGAAAGGGTATACAGTGGGTTCTGGGGTGCTGCCAGTGTTCTACTTCTTGATGTGGGTAGTGGTTGTACAAGTATTTGCCTTATGATTAGCCATTGGGTAGTACATTTTTCTCTTTTGTGCACTTTTCTGTGCAGGTTGTCATTTTTCACAAAGATTTTTGAAAGATATAGAATATTTGCTGTCCCCATTTCAGGGTGTCTTAAGTCTCCATCAGGGAGGCAAAATGAAAGCAAATGTAAAATCAGCAGCTGTTCAATTAACTGCAAAATGAGAAAGGTTATAAGTCTAGGATTGCCTAAGGCTAAGAATTTGCCATTGTTTATTTAGCGCTAACAATGGCAGAGGGACTCTGACTGGCACAGTATCACCAACTAGGAATGGAAAAGACTCCATATTCCACCCCAGCCTGGATAAAACAAACCTAGCATTGCCCAGCTCCCTGCGCTCAGCCTCTGGGTTGCTAAGAACCCTTTGCATGACTAACTTGGTTTCTTGAATATTGAGAGACCAAGTCAGGGAGTATATTCCTTGAATAAAAGGCATGAATATTCAGATTTCAGGAAAGATATACTATCATTATAAGTTCATAAAAAGACACTGATCTAATTGTCTAGTCTCCATGGGCTTGCACAGTATGATGCAATTTCCTAGGAAATTAACACCATTGGGTGATCTGATAAAGCTGAATTTTTGAATCTGTACAGGAGAAGCTCAGATCTTGATGTCAGTTTTACTCATCAAATGCATGTACTACGTGACCCAGGTGGAACTCTTAACCAGCATATCTCATCTCACTGACACTGGCTGCTTATTACCCAGGGCATTTCTGGGACTAGAGCCCGACCTGGAGAGAAACTTAGACTTGGAAATACCCTCTGTGGGGAGGACTTCCCCAACACTTACGTTTTACTTAAGGAGGAAGTAGGGCTCTGTACAAGTTTTTTTAAAAACTACGGACCAATATCTCTCATGAATGCAAACAGAAAAATCCTCAACAGAATGATAGTAAATAAAATCTAGCAATATAGTCAAAGGATCAGAACCATATGAGGTTTACCTCAGGAATATAGGATTAGGTCAACATTTGAAAATCAATCAATGTAACCCACTACAATAGAATAAAAGAGAAAAACCATATGATCATCTAAGTAAGTTCAGAGAAAGCATTTGACAAAATTCACCATTCATTCATGAGAAAAACTCTCAGCAAACTAAAAATAGAAGAGCACCTATGAAAAACCTACAATGGACATCAAACTTACTAGTGAAAGACTGAGTCCTTTCCTCCTATAATTGGGAGAAGAAAGAAGACGTTTGCTTTCACTACACCTAGTAGACACCATACTGCAGGTCCTAGCCCCTACAATAAAGCATGAAAAAGAAACAAAATGAATTCAGATAATTGTTGTTGTTGTTCAGTCACTCAAGTCGTGTCCGACTCTTTGCTACCCCCATGGACTGCAGTACACCAGGCTTCCCTGTTCTTAACCACCTCCTGGAGTTGCTCAAACTCATGTCCATTGAGTCGGTGATGCCATCCAACCATCTCATCCTCTGTTGCCACCTTCTCCTCCTGCCCTCAATCTTTTCCAGCATCAGGGTCTTTTCTAACGAGTTGGCTCTTCACATCAGGTGGCCAAAGTATTAGAGCTTCAGCATCAGTCCTTCCAAAGAATATTCAGGGTTGGTTGATTTTAGGATTGACTAGTTAGATCTTCTTGCTGTCCAAGGGACTCTGAAAGAGTCTACTCCAGCACCACAATTCAAAAGCATCACTTCTTTGGCACTCAGCCTTCTTTATGGTCCAACTCTCACATCAGTACGTGATTACTGGAAAAACCATAGTTTTAACTCTATGGACCTCTGTTGGCAAAGTGCTATCTCTGCTTTTTAGGTTTGTCATTAAGAAAAAACAAAAAACAAAAAACCTCTGCTGTCTATGTTTGTCATAGCTTGTCTTCCAAGGAGCAAGCATCTTTTCATTCCAAGGATGCAGTCACCATTCATTGTAATACATTAGCTAAATGATATACCCACAAGTGTCATGACAGTTCTGAGGCCAATCATAAAAGTTCCAGGCTCAACTCCTGGAAATCTCCTCTGCTTTCCTAAAATAGTTGGAATAATCCTTCCACTCAGTAGCCTATGAAATTACCCAGCTCATTAAAAACTAACCACCCCATATTTTGAAGCCTCTTACCTTCTGAGATGGCCCACAATCAGTCTGTGGAGTGTGTTTCTCCCAAGGCCATTCTTGCCTTTTGAGACAGACTGCATTCTGTCTATGGAATGCATCTCTCTCTAAATAAGTCTGCTTCTTGTGCTGTGTGTTAAGTAGCTTCAGTTGTGTCTGACTCTTTGCGACTCTACGGACTGTAGCCCTCCAGGCTCCTCTATCCATGGGGGTACTTCAGGCAGGGGTACTTCAGGCAAGGATGCTGGAGTGGGTTGCCATGCCCTCCTCCCAGGGATCTTCCTGACCCAGGGATTGAACCCACCTCTCTTATATCTCCTGCATCGGCAGACGGCTTCTTTACCACTAGCGTCACCTAGAAATCCCACTTCTTACCTCTCCCTCTCACTGAATTCTTTCTGAGACACAAAGAACTTCATTAAGAACTGCATCAAGTCCTGAGACCAGATGTGTGAGCTCAATTAAAAGACAGTGAGTTTTCTTCAATTAAAAATAAGTAAATTTAATTTTAAAAAAGACAGTGAGTTCAAATACCAATATGAGTTGTGCAGTTTCACCACTTCTCTATGCCAAAGGACTCCCTTTTTAAATTAATTAAATGTATTTATTTTGAAAAAATTTAAACCTGTGGGAAAGTTTTAAGTATATTACAATGAATTTTCCTATACCTATTTTCATCTATAGACTCTTTCCCTTTGTGATGAAATTACCAGTTACTCTTTCATTGAGATAAGATGTAGTGTAGGTTTCTTCTGGAATTTTAACATTCCTTTTCCCCATACAAGGAAAGAAAGAAGAAAAAACTAAGTTAATAGATGCAGGTTTCTTTTGAAGTGATGGAAATGTTTTGGAATTAGTGGTAATGGTTGCACAGCACAGTGAATATATTAAAATTAAAATTAAAATTCACTATTTGTGAATTTTGTTATATGAAGTATGCCTTGATTCAAAAAAAAATAAAAATGGGCAAAAGACTTGGACACTTCACAAACGAAGAAACCAAATAAAATTTGCATATGAAAAGATCCCTAGATCAAGAAGATCCCCTGGAGAAGGAAATACAACCCATTCCAGTATTCTTGCCTGGAGAATCCTTGGACAGAGGTGCCTGGCAGGTTACAGCCAATAGGGTCACAAAAAAGTCCAGACTGAGCAACTGAGCACTCACACACACTTGTAAAAAGATGCTTAAGATCATTAACGTTTAGGTCTAGAGAAATGCAAATTAAAACTACTATGAGTAGTAGCACACACCCACCAGAATGACTAAAAAAATAATTTTGGTCTATCTCTCTCTTTTTATTGGGTAAAATGTATATAACACAAAATTTATGATTTTCAAGTGACCAGTCCAGTAGTATTAGGTACATTCACATGGTTGTGCCATCATCACCACCTTCCATGCCTCTTTTCATATTGTAAAACTGAAACTGTCTCCATTCAACACTCACTCCCCTCCCCAGCCCCAGCCCCCACCATCCCCCTCTATGAATCAGTCTGCTCTAGGGACCTCATGTGAATGGATCATACACGACTTGTCCTTCTGTGACTGGCCCATATGACTCAGCATGTCCATCCATGCTGTCGCCTGTGTCAGGACTGCCTTCCTTGTCAAGGCTGGGTCACAGTCATCATATGAACTTAGCATGTTTGCTCATCCCTTCACCCACTGGTGGCTCAGATGGTAAAGAATCCGCCTGCAGTGTAGGAGACCTGAGTTCAATTCCTGGGTTGGGAAAATCCCCTGGAGGAGGGAAGGGAAACCCATTCTGGTATTCTTGCCTGGAGAATCCCATGGACAGAGGAGCCTGGCTGGCTACAGTCAATGGGATCACAAAGGGTTGGACATGGCTGAGTGACTGCTGACTAACTCACCCATCAACGCCCCTTTGTCTGCTTCCATGTCTCAGCTCTCATGTGAACTGTGCTGTTAGGAACATGAGGGTGTGAATACCTCTTGGAGACCCTGCTTTCAATGTCTTCAGGATCTTCACCCAAATGTGGGATTGCTTGGGGGAGGGGGCAGTTCCACCTTCTGTTTTCCACAGACGATGCACCATTTTACCTTCCTACCAACAGTGCACAAGGCTTGGTTTTAACTTCTGATTTAAAACCTTTTGCTCATGGTGATCCACTGGTTAAGAATCCACCTGCCAATTCAGGGGACGACGGTTCGATTCCTCCTCTGGGAACTAAGAGCCCAAATCGCTGTGGGGAAACTGAGTCCCTATGCAGCAACTAAAACCGGACGCAGCCAAAAAGAAATAAATATTTTGAAATTCTTAAAAACAACAGCAACAACAAACCTTTGCTCAGAAGGGCTCTTCCTCAACAGTCTCCTCACCCCTCAGAGGAAAGCAAAGTTGTCTCGCCAACCGCCCTGACCTACCCAGAGCGCGGGGCCGCTGGTCGGGATGTCACCTCTTCGGTCGCTGTCTCCTCAGGACAGAAGACACGGGAGGGACCCGGAGGAAGGCCTCTGAGGAGCGGGCCGTCCCCGCTTGGGCCTGCCTGCAGCGGAGGGAGGCACGGCACTTCAAGGGCAGCAGGAGGACTGGCGGTGGGCTGGGGGCGCCTTCCTGCAGGAGCGACGAGACGCCCTTCAGTCTACCCCCGGCGTAGGTCCCTGGGATCCTAGGGTCTCGCGATATCTCTTCTGCTGTCTCCGTCCGCTTGTCTCTGGTCCGCTGGTGGGAGAGCTGCTCCACTTGCACTCTGCTCTTGTGCGGAGCCTTCTGCGTCTGCATCTAAGCGCGGAGTTCTGGAACGTTTTTTCACCAGAGTCTCCTGTCCCCGCTTCATGGGTTCAGGGCTGTGCTGTTGATGCTTCCTGCTCACTGTCACTCTGCCGGATCCGGACACTTCACCTCTGTCCTCCAGAGAGACTAAGAGCTGGGCCTGTACCTAGGCTTTCCCTGCGGCAGGCCTGACTCCTAGTCCTCGGCTCCTCCCTGCCCCCCTCATCACTCTCCCCCTCCTCCTCCGTCTGGACTTCCTCTTGGTTCTCCTCCCAGACCTTCTCCCAGGTCTCTGGCCATTCCTGGCCTCGCTGGTCTTCACAGGGAGGCAGGGGCAAGTTGTAGAGTAACCAGAACTCTCCAGCCCTACTGGTAAGGGTGTAAAGTGGTACAACCACTTTTGAAACCCGGCTTCTTTTACTATTAGACATATAGCTATCCATGATCAGCAATTCCACTACTAGATATTTACCCAAGAGAAAATGTTCATAGCAGCATTACTCATAATAGCTAAAAAGTGGAAACAATCAGATTTCACAACCAGATTTCAAAAATGGAAACAAATCAGTCCACCAACTGATGAAGGAAGAAACATATTAGGACAGGTCCACACAACAGAATTCTACTCAGTAATAAAAAGGAAACAACAGCTGAAACAGAAAAACATGGTTGGGTCTCAGAGACATTATGTTGAACCAAAGAAAACAATACACACAGAATAATTTGAGTTATACAAAACTCTAGAACCAGCATTAGAAATCAGATCTATAGTTGGTTGGAGCAGAGCTTGGGGTTGGGGAATTGACTATACAGGAGAATGAGGGAATTTTCTGGAGGGATGCAAATATCTTGATTGATTGTGATGGTGCTTATGTGGATGTGCATACATTTGCCAAAACTCATTGGACTGTAGACTTTAAATATATTCATTTTAATAGGGAAACTGGATTAAACAAATTAAAAGGAGCATGAGTATCTGGAAATAAATGACCTGGGTTTGAGTCTTTCATCTTGGTTCCATATTTAAAAGGTTGTGTGACCTTGGACAACTTATGCAGCCTTAATAAGCCTCAGTTTCCTCATCTGGAGAATTGGGCAACAGCTCAGATGTGGGAGGGGGAATACTCCTTGTCTTATCCAGGTGTTGTATGTTCTTAAGAATGGCTTTGTGCTTATCATGTGCCAGGTGGGATGCTGAACTGTTCGAACAAAAGGGCAACAGTTTGGCCAGGAAGAAATGTGCACACCAGGCTCCTGGTCTCCATCCTTTCACCCTTGGATTCCTTGGGGTTGGGGAGAGGGGTGTGTTTGTTTACTTGGACTGCCATAACAAATTACCCCAGGCTGTGTTCCTTAAACAACAGAGCTCAATTTTCTCACTGTTTTGAAGGTTGGAAGTCCAAGGTGAAGGTCCCCTTGGCTTTCTCACTCTGTCCTCACATGGTCTGTCCTCTGTGACTCTTACTCTTCTTCTAAGGACCCCAGATGGACTGGACTGGGGCTGGCCCTAACAGCCCTCATTTGGAATAAACATCTCTTTTAAGATCCCATCTCTAAATGCAGTCACAGTCTGAGAGACTAGGGGTTAGGGCTTCAACATATGGATTTGGGGGGACACAATACAGCCCACAAAAGGGGTTGAATTCAGATTTGGTCCCTCTTGGATAGGCATGTCTAAGGACAGGGCCTTTACCCTTGACTAGTTGAAGGTCAGTTCAGAATAATTGGTAGAAAGAGCATATCAGTTTACTTGTTTTGTCATTTGGTAAGTGCATAACCTGGGATGAGGCACTTACACTGCCCCTCACCTACAAGGGAGCATAGTCTTACGTCATAGGATTGCTGCGAGGAGCACATGGATCAACACTATTAATAATATTTGTATCAAAGTATAAGGCTGTGTTCTTAGTTGTACAATAGAATCCCCCATCATCTCTGGCAGTCCACTGGTTAAGACGATGGGCTTCCACTGCAGGGGGCATATGTTCCATTCCTGGTCAGGAAACTAAGATCCCGCATTAACTGTCCACCAGCAACAACAACAACAACAACAAATCACCCCAGCAAAGGTGGAAAATCCTGATGCCCAGGCCCCCCATACCACCCTCTCTCCCCCTTCAATTGGTCTGGGGTGAGGCCCAGATACTTGCCATTTAAGAAGTCCCCCTCCCGCCCAGTGATTCCAGTGAACCACCAAGGTTAAGGGGCCACAGAAGCGTTTTGATCGTTTCTACGGATGAATTAGGGGCTGGGACTACACTGTGCGCTTGGACCCGGACTTTTAATGCTAGAACCCCCCTGGATGGTCTCAGGGTCACTCCCTTCTGCTTCTCTAGAAGAAACAGATCCTTGAGGACTGAGGCTGGGCTAGAACCTTGTCCCAGCCCTGCCCCCAGTCCAGCGCCTTTCTTGCCCCAGGCACTGCGCATCAGAAACCCCTGCAGGACGCGGGCCGAAGCATCGCGAGCGCAGGGCGGACTAGTGCTGTTCGTCCTGCTTTCGTTTATTCAGGGACCTGGGAATCAGGTGTTCCGGATCGGGGCCGGTGGGACCCGCGGGGAGGGCCGGCTCCGGGCACTGTCAGCGCTAGGTGGCGCCCGCCGGCCGGCCCTACCCGGCTCCTGGGAATCCTTGGGGCCCCGGGGAATCCTGGCGGGGTGGCGGGGGGAGGGGGAGAGGGCGATTCCTCGCTTTTTTAGCAGGACTGTCGGTAGGATCACGTGCAAAAACTTCTCAAGACCCAGCCCTTGCCCGACCCCTGAAGAAGGTGGACGGCATGTTAAGCTCATTACTTCCTGCCTCCTCTTACTGCGGGGGTGGAGGCGGGGTGCGGGGGGACCGGAGGCTGTTTTTTTTTCGGGTGGGCTGTTCCTCTCTGTTAGCAAATCTGGACGATTCTTCGAAGTTTTCCTGCTCAACACGTGCCACAGAGGACTGCAGCTTGGCAAGAAAATCACATTTTTAAAACACAGGAAATTTATCCGAACCAAAGTTTTCTCCACTAAAATGTAAGGAGAGGAGCCTCGCAATGAGGACCCTGAGACACTGTAAAGTCCCTACCCAAAAGGATCTAGTTTTGTTCAGGGTTATTTTCATTCAGAGCGCTTTAAGTGTTTTATAACAACTTTAGAACCAGGGAACCATCAGTGTGGTTGCTGTTAACAGGGGCCTCTCCCTAACGCAGAACATCCCAGAAAATCCAACAGCCAAACGCATTTGAAGTAAGGTGTCATCTTGCAGTTCTGAATACTTAAAATATTTCCTTTTGAGAAACTTGAATTAGCTTTTGTAAAACGGTCTTTCTCAAAAAATAAAAAATAATAAATAAATAAATAAATAAAAACAAAATAGTCTTTCTCTATGTTACCAGTTATTTCCTTTTCTCCCTCCCCATTATATTTTAGGAATTTCTTCAGCTAACACTTATTTTGCCAAACTCTGAGTCAGACCCTGGAAAATACAGAATCACAAAACAATAAATAGTAGGAAACTCACCTACTCCATCATCACAATCCAATTTTAGAACATTTCTATCCCCTAAATTTCGCTGGTGATTAATTGCAGTCTATCCTCATTTTCATCCCTAGCCCTCAGGCAGACCCTGATCTTCCTTCAATCTCTATTGACATTTCATGTTAATGGAAGTATAGCATGTGTGGTCTTTTGTATCTGGTTTCTTTCACTGAGCGTGGTGTTTTCAAAGTTTATCTGTGTTGTAGAGTATATCAGTGCTTCATTCTTCTTTATGGATGAATAACAGTTCATTGTATGGATGGGTCCCATTTTGCTTATTAGTTGATGACACATTTAGGTTATTTGTATTTGGGGGCTTTTATGAATAAAACATCTATGTGCAGTCACATTCAAACCTTTGTGTGGACAGATGTTTTCATGTCTCTTTGGAAGTCAGCTGTGCTCACCACTACACCACCAGCACTGCACTTCATGTCTGTTTGCTAAGGATCTAGAAATGGAAATTTCTGCATATTATGGAATATTTATGCTTAACATCTTTAAACACTGTCAATTTTTCTCCCCAAAGTGGCTGTACCATTTTATTTTATTTTTTTATTTTTTTATTTTTTTGGCTGTACCATTTTAAATTCCCATCAGCAATACAATTTCAGTCCTCCACATGCTTGCCAACATTGATTTCTTTTTGATGGTACCCTTCCTAGTGGGTGTGAAATGGCACCTAATTGTAGTTGGTTGTTTTTTTTTTTAAGTCTGTTTTACTTCTTTTTGGCCATATCATGGGCTTGTGGGAGCTTAATCCCCTGACCAGGGATTGAACCTGGGTCCTTGGCAATGAAAGCACAGAATCCTAACCACTGGACTACTCAGGAATTCCCACCTTACTGTAGTTTTAACTTACATTTTCCTAATGGATGATAATGTTGAGCATCTTTTCAAGTGCTTATTGGCCATTTGAATATTTTTGTTGAAATGTCCGTTCAAATCTTTTGTCCACTTTAAAAAAAAGTGAATTTTTTAGTGGTAGATTTACAGAAAAGTGCTGACAGTGCAGACTGTTCATATACTTCACTTCCAGTTTCCTCTGTTACTAACATCTATCTGTCTGATGTGATTGTGGTACCTTTGTCACCGTTAACTGAAGTTCACACTTTGTGATTTCCTTAGTTTTTACCTGAATCCCCTTTTTTCTTCCAGGGTTCCATCCAGGACACCTTGTTACATTTAGTGGTTATGTCTCCTCGGGCTCCTCGTGGCTATAACAGTTTCTCAGGCATTCTTTTTAAACCTTGACTTTTGATAACCTTAGCAGTTTTGAGGAGGACTGGTCAGATAGTTCATGAAATACCCCTAATTGGGATCTGTCTGATGTTTTTCTTATGATTAGCATGGGGTTATGGGTTCTTGAGCCGAAGACCTTGGAGGTAAAGGGCCTGTTGTATCCGCTCCGGCTGCCGAAACAAGGACCTCAGACTGGGAGGCTTAAGCAGTGGTTTATTCTCTCAGTCCTGTAGGCTGAAAGTCTAAGCTTAAGG